CACACCTCTGCACGGCCTACCTTATGCAATCTCACTCAATCTGTCTGAAAACCCCCGCAAACATTTGCCTTTTTAAGGTTCGGACGGGCTGATTAAGGCTTTTTACCCCTTCTCACCAACATGCAAAGCTATTTCACCAACTCTTCAGGCCTTGAGTTTACATGCAGACGATCTGAAGATGTCCATAAAGGAGTTTTTCTTGTTAATCACAGCACATCGTATGTAACTAAAAAATATATCCTCAGTGGTTATTAAAGCTATCCCCAGAATTAGCATGCTGGCCTAGTTTGATGCCAGTTCCATGTAAGATGAGACAAAAAAATAGTGACACAGAGGTAAATAAAGCTGGAAATAAATCTGGAAATAAATCTACTTTATAGTATCTTTTTTTTAGGGAAATACGGCACAGTACATATAAATGTTAGACCAATACTGAAGATGATTTTACTGCTTTTCGTTCGTGTTAAAAACTCTCAGACTTTTGCTAAGGCAGCCAATGGCCCCATCTCTGAGGCTATTGTTGGAGGGATTGTTGGACGGATGAATGGGAGGAAAGTGGGAGGAGAAGTTGGCCAGCAGTTTATCTGTTTCTTCTCCTCCCAAAAATATCCCAGCAGATACGCTGAGCCCCGATACGGCGCGACACTTCCTGTCCAGAGTCACCGTCCGGTCGGTCGGCCTGAGACGTGCCGACATCTGGACAGAAAAGTCTGCCACCAAGTTACGCTGTCAAGAATTCCTCTTAAAGCTTAAAGCCTGTAAACTGTGACGAAATACAAATGAAATCAACTTTAAAGCTTCGAAGATGGAAATCTGGAAAGCGTCGATATCTTAAAGCAAAGTCGTTGCGTTTCCTCTGTAATTACATACAAAGTTGGACACAAAAAAGAGAGAGGTATGGTTCGGTTGTGGCTGCAGGGTGGGGCCACGCTGCTCTTCTCTGGGGGGAAACCGAGAAGAAGGAACAATAAGGTCATTGATCCACAAGACGAACGCTCAATCACTCAATAATTTACAACCCAGGTGCGGGGTTCCTCCATAAGGAACCCAGGCTCGCCTCCTTATATGAGCGTCAGAGATAATCCTGCTTATTCTTTTCCGAACATCAAGCCGTATTTTTTTTTTTAACTCCATTAGCTGTGAGATAACAGAGTTTACTCATGTGCACGAACAGGCCCAATATTGTTCCTGTGTAATCTAATCCAGAGATAGCAGAAGCCATTACGGCCGGATCTGAGCGGTGGTCTGATGGAGTCTGGGG